AGATAATCTTAAGGCTTCAATTTGGTTGTTTATGGATTAAAATATATATTGAAACATTACAAAATCCATAATTTGTAGAAAACAACAAAAAAATTCTAACTGAATTATAACCTAAACATAAGTATATTCATACAATTTCATAAATATGAAATAAATATATAATATATTAAAAAAAATATAAATATGATATAAACTCATTGGTCTCCACCACATCACTCAAATCTAACTGTGTTAAGTAAAAAAAATTGAAAAATTACCCAGCAGAAACATGAAAAATATTACAATGTGTTCTATGAGAGTGTGTGTACCATGTGTGTGTTTGTGCATGTGTGTGTGCGTGTGTGTGTGTGTGTGTATGTGAGTTTTTTCTGCATTGGGGATATTCTGTAGTCTCAGCCCTTCGTTTGGGTATAAATCTTTACTGGACTGTCTCAGATTTTGTATATCAAAAAAAAAAAAAAAATCAAATGTAATGAAAAATGCAGTTTTGTTACTTTTTTTATTGCACCCATTTAAACTCCTCGAATCCATTCAAAATTTGTGTTTTTTTGTGTATTCCCGGTGCAAGTGTGACAAAAGTAAAGAAATCTTGGACCAGTACGATCAACACACGATTTTTAGAATGTTTTTGAAAAAAATGTTCGGGTCAAAATGACCCGAGGGATGGATGGAGCATTTCTCAAATTAAGTTTTTTCCCCTGCACTGAGCCACAAATCTCCACTTCAGTAGCACTTAACAGTTTTATTCTCATCTATATTTTGAAGGTTTTTTACTGAGGGGTTTGTCCGTATATCATACTGTATGCCAGATTTGAGATTTTAATCCTAAAAGCATGTTAACAGTATTTTACGATTTATGGAGTGAATACAAACTTTTAATGTCAAAATGAAGAATTTTGAACCTTGCTTTATCCAATGTTCAGATTTCTGTTCTGGAAATTGATGCAGATTAGTGCATATTTAATTAGATAGATTTGCATATTTAAACATAACATTTTAGAAAACTTGTAATACAAAAAATGTTTGCAATTCTTAATGTAATCAGTTAACTGGAGTAGTATGGTGATATTTAAAAATTCTTTACTCTATTCACCTGGGGTGTCTTGCCTTAAAAAGTTTCACACTTCTATGAATGAATAATATAATTTTTATATAAATAATGCACTTTTAGTTATATCAGTAGCCTGTGGAGTGGGTTGCCATGTCAAGCTCACTCTGAACTTGTCGCTCTGAATTAATAATATTGTATTTTCTAATTTATGTCACATTTTCTTTTTGCATTTATTCAGAAAAGAAAAAAGTAACCTTGAACTGCGGACCTAATGGCTTTTAAGTAACAGGTATGTATTGAATGAAAAGTTGTTGAGCATTTAGAAGTATATTCAGTTCGTTGTATTTAATGTGAGATTAGATGTGAACATAAAATATTATCAAAGAGTTATGTGCTGTCCTTATAAATTAGAAATCCAAGATGAAGATTTGAACAAGAAGAGTTATTCTGAAGCTTTCAGTTTTATTCGTATATATGAAGATTTCTGGTCGATGAGGATGTTCACTCGCATGCCACAAGCAAGACATTAAAGATTTTCAAAGCATCTCGCCATAGCTTCTAACATGGAAAAAAATAATGTTCGGAAGACCTTGTACGAGGAGACGGCGCTGTCTCTGTGTGATCTCAGCTGCTGTTCTGATGATGGGCTTTGTGAAGTGCACAACTGCCCAGTTACACATTAGTTTGATTGCCAGTTTTCTCTGTTCGAAGCGAGCTTTGATGCATATCTCGAGATGAAAGCCAAACTACTCCAGCGAGTCCATTGTAGATGGGGTTCCATATTTGCTTCAGGCACCATGAAGACCTTCAATAATCTTCCAATACTGGCATGAACATAATTTATAATTTATCACACAATGCACTGCGTTCTACATCTTAATTCAGGGGCCCTATTTGCTCCCTTGTTGACAGACTCTGCGGTTCATCCATATTTTTTTTCTTTAAGGTAAGGCTTTGATGCATTCTGTGCACTTTGATAGCAAGACTGCCTGTTGTGTTGGAATACTTTCCTAATGTTTGTGTGTCTTAAACTTGATAGAAGTAATATGGGAGGTCATTAAAACCCCTGCATTTGTTTCTCTTTTATCCACCAAGACCCTCTTGGAGATGAAACAATCTTATAAAGCAAATAAAAATGTCTTTATCTTGACAAGCCCACTGTGGATATATAGCTTCTTATGTCTAGAATGTATTACATAATTATGCATCGCTATATGGGCCCCTCACACTCAGTACATAGTAAGTTGCTTAATTGCGGGAATTAATAATTAAGAAGCAAAGGTCTTGAGTGGGAACCATCATGGCGCTTTTGATAAATTATTTTACGTGATTAGTTTTTAATCGCATGAACTTTTTGTGAAGGGTGGAAGGTTATAAGTCTATGAAACCAGTATTTTAATAACGGGGTTATTGCTTGAGGTTTTAATCCCTTGGATGGACTGCCACTATGCCATGAATCAACAAATTAAACATGCGGCTTGCAAAGTATCAGACAAGTATAGAACAGGGACTAATGATTCACCTAAAGGTCATGGTTTATATCTTTGTTCACAATGGGGAATGCAAAATAATTTCTCAGGCCGCCTCGGCTCTAGGCTTTGTAAATGTGGCACTTTTAGAAGGACAATGCCTGGCCTTCAACCGAATGCTCTTATTAAAAGCACTTTGATGAAATGTAGGAACACACATCCTTCCTAAATCCTTGGGTTCACCTCTGTGTTAATGGACCAGAAGCTGAGGTTTAATTCGCTTTGTTCATTTGTGAAATGGGCGTATAGATAACTTACTCTGTGATTGATAAAATGTACCGACACATCATTGTCAGAGTGGCCGATGACATCATACAAGCTCTGCATTGGCATTGCAAGGACAACGTACCTTATTTTCATGTCACATGCTATAGTCTGCCCTCTGCTCTAAGATCAGTGGTTATTGAGTATATCACAATGCACAAAGACATATTTAATTTAAATTGACATGCATGTTTTTAAAAAATGGTTGGGTCTTTTGGAAGACCTCAGGCAGTTCGGGTCGGCAGCAATACTGTTAGTGTTATCTGTATGCACCAAGGGTCTGAGAGTAACGCAATTTCAATTCTCTGTGTGTATGTGCTGTACATGTGGAAGAATTGACAATAAAGCAGACTTGACTTGACTTAAGACATTAAAATAGCTTTGCATCAAGTTATTGGTCTGATGCTTTTAGTATTTTGAACATCAGCTGCACTAAGATCAGATGGATCATACTATGATGCTCTCAGATAATGTACTATTTTAAGAAGAAATGTGTAGGGATGGGAATCGTAAAGAGATTTAATGGTTTATTTCTGGTTCTGAGTCTGATTACTCTTTAATGATTCCAGTTCCTTAGTGGTTCAATTAACAATTCTTTTAAGTAATAAATATTTGAACAAAAAACAAATGTCATTTTATTACCAATGGAAGAAATTCAACAAGTAGTCAATTTAAGCGTATTGCAAAATGTGTTTACACTAACTTTTAAATGACTTTTTACTTTTTGTCAATCAAATTTTCATAAAATACACCTCATGCAGTTCTGTATTTGGTAAATATTATATTTAAAGGATGTATTCTTTACACTACCATTGTGGTCAGTAGTTTTTTTTTTTTTTTTAGATTTTTAATTTCAGCAAAGATTCATTAAATTGTTCAAAAGTTTTACATTGTTGCAAAGATTTCTATTTCAAATAAATGATGTTCTTTTGAATTTTCTATGCATTAAAGAATCCTAAAAATGATCAGTTTCCACAAAAATATTAGGCATAACTGTTTTCAACATTGATAATAATAGGAACATTTACACAGTATTACTACTATTTTTACTGTATTGTTGATGAATGTAGCTTTGGTGAGCATATGACAAAAAAAAATCTAACTGATCCCAAATGGTAGTGTACGTGTATTTTTTTTTTAAGAAAATGGTATAGAATGGTTTTTGGTTCCCATCTCTAATAATAATAATGAGTGTTTTCAAACAGGTTTCCTCAAATACTACCTCTGCCATTGGTCAGACAACAGATCCTAAACTCCCACTCCAAATTTGGCCAAATCAAAAGTCTGACATGTTCACATGGCCTTGTTAGCCCTTGATGGTAAATGTCATAACTACACCATCTGGCAGCAAAAAAGCATCTTTATCCATTGATGGCCATTCATAAGCAGTCATAATATTTGACTAAAAAAGTTGTCAGTAATGAAATAATAAAATACCTTACATTTCAAAATTCTAACTTCATAAGTTTGCTTAAAAGTTTTATTATGATGACTGCCAGATGGTGCAGGATCATGTCACACACCTTTGGGATATATTCGCCACTTATTAGCAGGAGTTCAGACAACCTGTCTAGAGCATTGTGTAGCTGTCATCTTAAACCTACTTTACAGCGTCACTTTCAGTTAATTAAATGCCCAACCAAAACTATCAAAACCCAGTTTATGTTCCTTCACCTTGAGCAGAGTCTTTGAAACCAGTAATGCAGACGTTTTAGAGTTATGCAAGTCCTTAAATTGATCCCAGCTGAACTGAAAGCACCCTGTTCCTTTGGTTAACAGAATCTCCTTTCTTGATTGAAATACCATGAGTCTCGGAACTGTTGGAAATGTACAAGTCTCTCTCTCTGAAAATGCTTTTTAGCCAGTGGTGGACAGTAACGGAGTAGTTTTATTTCGTTACTGTACTTAAGTACATTTTTCAAGTATCTGTACTTTACTGGATTAGTTTTATTTTGAGTAACTTTTACTTTTACTTCACTACATTCCAAAGCATAAGATCGTACTTTTTACTTCACTACATTTCATAAAACAAATCGTTACTCCTTATAATATAGGCTATCACGTGCTCCGAGACGCAGAAGCGGCGTCTGATTCAAGAACGAACTGATTCTTTTCAATGAACCTTTTAAATCGGTTCGCAAATCGCACCAACCGATTCATTCACGAATTAGAATGATCCGATTGCAGCTGTTCTCGAGTCGACAACTCACTGATTCAAATGAACCGTTTAGTGCGAGTCTCCAGTGAACTGAATTCACAAGTAAGAACCGCGCGCGCGACTGTACTTTTACTCAAGTACTTGATTTGTGTACTTCGTCCACCACTGTTTTTAGCACTGACATCATGCAGAACCACTAGATTGGCTTTGTTTTTTTTCCAGACTGCCATCCGCTTATTTCTTTTAATTAAATGCCCAACCAAAACTATCAAAACCCAGTTTATGTTCCTTCACCTTGAGCAGAGTCTTTGAAACCAGTAATGCAGACGTTTTAGAGTTATGCAAGTCCTTAAATTGATCCCAGCTGAACTGAAAGCACCCTGTTCCTTTGGTTAACAGAATCTCCTTTCTTGATTGAAATACCATGAGTCTCGGAACTGTTGGAAATGTACAAGTCTCTCTCTCTGAAAATGCTTTTTAGCACTGACATCATGCAGAACCACTAGATTGGCTTTGTTTTTGTTTCCAGACTGCCATCCGCTTATTTCTTGTTAATGACTGGAAGAAGGGATAAAAGCCCCTAGTGTATGATAAGATGCCAGGCAGGGAGACATTGGTGTTGCTGGGGTTTGTGCACTGATTAGATGCTCTGAGGAAATATTCTAAAAATAAAAGAGAACAGATTGGTCTATGGTGATATCATTCTTAGCTTGGTCTGGTAAGGTTTACTGCATCATTCTCAAGTACAAATTTGGTATGGAGCATGTTAACACCCTTAAAAATGAATTTATTTAAATTATATGAATACATTTGAATCATATTTATGTAAATATTTCGATCATTTTATAGAAATTGATGTTTTATTTTAATTTACTTTACTGATTTTTGCCCTGTTTGAGAAATTATGGGATAAAGGGGGAAAATGGGTAGATGGATTCTAACTCACCATCCTTATTAAAGGAATACCCAAAAACAAATATGTTGTGATTATTTATTCAACCTCAAGTTGTTCTAAACTTGAGAAAAACTGCTTGTATAGGCTGCAAATGGTGTTTGGTATCTTTCTTTGAATTGAGTCCATGAGTTAAACTTGACTGGATCAGTAAACAAGTCATTATTTTGGGCCAATTGAGAGTCAGATTGATTTGTTAAGCCTAACAAAGCCACTTTATGGCTTCCGAAGACTTAGCATAAAGTGCACAAGTCATATGGACCACTAGTTTGTGTAATTTTTAACTCTTGGCGTATGGAAAAGAGTTGCATCAAGATTCTTCAGCTTGTCTAATTTTGTGTTCCACAGAAGAAAGAATCTGCATTCTTCTGTGTAGATATAAATTCTATTCTTTTCATCAGCTGGGCATGGCAGGGTATGATATGACGACTGTCATAGCCTACCCTGCTCGCCCAGTAAGTCTGTTTGTTTAATTAAGTAAATAATTAATTAATTAATTTGTTTCAAAATAAATATTTTAAACACTAAGACAAAAAAGAAAGAATAATAAATTGGTTTGGGTATTTGTAGGCCTATAATGTTCACGCAAGAACTGTCATTCTGACTGACAACC